TCCCTTCCCTTCCCTTCCCTTCCCTTCCCTTCCTCCTGCTTCCTTTCCCATTGGAGATGTGATGTTAAGCGATTTTTATGCATCAAGCACTACTGAAGGACATTTGGTATTTCAGAGTCCACCCAATGAAGTCTGTTCAATTTACAGATCATACAGACAAGGTAAACAGGATTTATGTAAGAAGTACATTTTGCAGTTTCTGCCCTGCCCATCATGAGTCAGAAAGAGAATGTGAGAGTCCATGTGGGCATGGTAAGGTACTCAGCTGAGCTCTGAACATCTGATACAAAAACTAAAAAAGCATGAGTATTTTTCAGGTACATTAATTACATTTGATCCCTGAGAGTTTTACTCTTTTTACATAACCATCAACCTACTCTCCATTTTTTTGCCATTTTCAGAATACTTGGAAAGCACCTAGTTTGGGATGTGTTATGAGCCATCTGAGATTTCAATATTACTTTGCTGATTTGCCTAAAGCAATATCTGGCACACATGCGTGCATAGATATATGTATCAAATGAGTAAGTCTGCAAGCTTCTGAAAGATGCCTGGCAGCTATCATCTCATTTTGCACACAGGTGTTATACAACATCTTCATCGCCTTCACCCAGATGCACAAGTATGAAGAGATTGAATCCATTGATATCCTCGCTGGCTTTGCTCGCTTCTTCGTTGTGGGACTGGGTGGCATGCTGTTTGGTGTTGTCTTCGGGTTTGTTTCAGCCCTCATGACTCGATTCACCCACAACGTCTCCGCTATCGAACCCCTGCTGGTCTTCATGTTCAGCTACCTGTCATACTTGTGTGCTGAAATCCTTTACGTCTCAGGTATCTTGGCGTGAGTATTCCTTGTGCCTTTTCAGATGCTCTCTTGGGGAAAGGGGCAATGTTTCATGGAGATGGTTTACTTGAGATTGATGTACTAATATCAACATTTTCAGCCTCAGACCTACAGTAAACAGCTTCTAAGTGGTCTGTAAGTGCAGTGATAATTAGGAGAAGCAAGCCTACACTCAGTGTAGGCAGAAATGTACTACTAAGGAATAGATATCTATGCTGACAATTTTTTTTTTATTTTTGCCCCCTGGAAAAAAAATCTTGCAAAATGTGAGTATGATGTCTGTTGTTGCCACCAATTGACAGTTTTCTGTTCCTCAGAGCATGAGGGAACAGTCTACCCCTGGTAGAACCAGTTCAGTGAGAGAATGGATTCATAATAGACTTATGTATGTGCCTTTATGCTAAGCATTCAACACTGGATAAGAATAGAGATGAAAAGTAATGAATGGAAATTTAAAAACTTAGAAATGTTAGGGTTATTGCTCTTGTGTATAGTTTCGAAAATCATTTATGACATGATTTACTGGAATTACACTACATTTGAGTAGCATTACTGGAAGAAGAGAAAGGAATAGGGGGTAAAAGTGAGAGACATTAGGGTAAGACTGCTCATAAGGAGATTCGAAGGATTCTGCACCTAACAACTCTTCAGAAGAAGGAAATGTAAAGAACAGGCCACTTGGCAAGGTAGCTAAACCTGTAACTAATGCTGTGAGATGCTATGGAGATCAGTGATCGGCTAGTGGGTGGCTTTGAGCTCATGTGCCAGTGGAGTCTTTGTGGATTTTGGTCTCTTGGAGGACAGGAATCTCCAGAAAGATGCTTCCTGTTGGGGGCAATTCAGTTGACAAAGGTAATAAATGGAAGTATGTAACTGTTGAGGTATTTACATCTGCTCATTTCTACCTATCAAACTCAGGTTTGGTTAGCTTCAGAGAATGACTGGCTTTGTACTAACTCTGGAAAGCCAGATTAGAATATTATCCATATTAAACAACTATTTAGATAAGAAATGAGTTTCTCTGAGCTATGAGACAAAGGAATTGATCTTGGGCTTTGTTTTTTGTCTCCAGCATCTTTGGTCTTAGGTATCTGAGATACTTAACCCTAACCTTAAAGTTAGGGGGATGAGCAGGATGAGACCTACTACATAGTGAGCACTAATACCACATGGGCTCTTTCCTACTAGCACTGCCCAGAATACTGCTTCCTTGCCTACCCATTACACTATACTACATACCTCTATGTTCTCTTACTTGTGATTTTCATTAGGGCACTGAAGTTGTTAGTAATAAAAAATGTTAATATAATTGGGATTTATTATTCTTACTGCTTCATTAAGAAAATTATTGCTTGTTTTGGAGATGGGAACTTATTGTCACCCTTCTAAATTATTGAGGAATTCATTCATTTTTCACTTATATCATGAAAGTTGATTATGCATGTATCTCTGAAAGTCAACAGTATTAAAATTTAATGCCTAATGACATTGCCTTAGAATGTCCTTGGACCTGCTCAGTTCTACCAGAATACCCTTGAGATTTCTTCAACAGAAATTAAAAGAACAGAAACTAGATAAAGGCTTATTTAGTGAGCAGTCAATGTTCTCCAAAATTACAAGTTTGGAAAAATATCATCACAAGAAGCCCCCCAAAGACTAAATAACATCAACAGGAATTAGACAGATGATGGAATATATGATTAGCCTTGCACTAAATCTATCTAATTATCTACAGCTGTGGAAAATGAAGGAGATAAGAGTAAACTGTTCAGTAGTCCTGCTTGAAGACTACTGCTCAACATGAATATGACAAGTATCTGTGTTGGGTCATGGCTGATACCTCTGAAGCTGGCTCTAGCTTGAGTAACAAAGACTAAAGAGTGGAAAAAAATTCCTTTCCTTCCTTAGGAGCATTTTCCACACCCTGGTTAACTAAAAGGAATGAAGGACGTATCTGTAGGGTAATTAAATTTTCCCCTGCTGTGCAGCAGTAGACTTCTATGGGAGGAGAATTTCTGAAGCTTGTCCTGGTTCTGCTGATCTGCCAACCAGCTGGCAAGGACTCACTGGAGTCTTTGATCCCTGCATAGAACTACAGCCGTGTTCTCTTTGCCTTGCACCTCAAGGCAAAGATCACTCAGAGGCAGGTTATGTCCCTCTAATTAATACAGCCACAGCCTGGTACAAAATTGACTGCCCTTTGTTTGATACTCAAATATTTGATGCTTGGTGGTTGTGCGTTATGCATTCAGAATAAAAAGGACTTTGAACAGGATTGTGATATCCTCATTTCCCCTCAAGAGAAGCTGACTGATTTGCTTCCTTTTTCCTGTATACAAAATGGATTCATAAAGCTGAATGAGTTCTTTTACTTAACTGAAATAGCTAGCATTATTGAAGAAATAAAATGCTACATTATACTAGGAAGGTTAAGATTTGATAGTGAAGACTATGAATGCAGTCTCAAGTTGCTATTAAATCAAGAACAAACAAACAAACAACAGCAAAAGCAGTTTGTGGTTGCTCTCTGATGTTTTACCTCCTACAGGATGACAGCATGTGCAGTGACTATGAAAAAATATGTGGAGGAGAATGTTTCCCAGAATTCCTACACAACAATAAAATACTTCATGAAGATGTTGAGCAGCGTCAGCGAGACCCTGATCTTTGTTTTCATGGGAGTGTCTACAGTGGGGAAAAATCATGAGTGGAACTGGGCTTTTATTTGCTTCACTCTGCTTTTCTGCCTCATTTGGAGGACACTAAGTAAGTCAGTTTTTGCAGACAACCTGGTCTGCATCTCTGAAAGAAATCTTTTAGTGCAAAGGTATGTTAGAAAAACAGGTGCAGACTGGTATAACCAGTTTAATAATGAATTTACTAGGCATGCATTACAGACAGCTTCATTTCATTTATCCGCACATGCAGAAAAAGAAGGAAAAACATCAAACAAATCTTAATGCCAGTTTTCAATCACAGACTACATGATTAAGTAAGAATAGAAAATATTAAGCAAAATTGAAACATTGTCATGATTATGCCTATACAGAAGCAGACATCTTAGTTAACTATATGCCCGTGGATAAGTGGGCTTCACAGTGATTTCATCACATTGTGTAACCGTTTAGCCAGCTGCCGACCAGCACCCCACGTCCTTTTCTTCTAGGCAGATTTCCAGCTGCATTTCCTCAAGTCGATAGCACTGCACAAGGTTGCAATCCATTCTATACTAATGATCTTCACGAGTCAGTTTGGACACTGAGGTTTTAAACCACTAGAAAGTAGTGCCTATGAAATTATTCAATTTCTGCATACAGTATTTTCCTGTTCCTACAAAGGTCTCCTACTTCCTCATCTATGAGACTATGATGCCTTGAGCATGGGCAGAGGATTTCCTAGAGGATGTCACAGTAGCTGTGGGACACCATTTCTCATCTTCTCCTGATGACAAGGATGGGCCAGCAGAAACTTTGAAAAGTTGAGAAAGACAGAATAGGAAGACAAGGAAGATGAACTGTGCTCTTTATAAAAGTACAGATTAAATGTATGGAGTTTTCCCTTGGCAAAGGTGACGAGCCAACAGAAAGTATGTGCACAATAATCGGAGGACCAGTGGTTCAGAGAGACCAGTACATCTGATGTTTTAATAGCTGTCTACTGCAGATCTTCTGTTCTAGAAGAGGAGACAGACAAAGCATTGCTTATGCACTGGAGAAAGTGTTACAGGCCCTTATACTCATGGGAGACTTTAACTATGCCAGTATTTGTTAGAAGGGCAATATGGCTATCCAGGAGTTTTCTGAAAAATGTTGAACAAAATTTCTTGATGCATTTGTCAATGAGACAACCATGAATTATGCTTTGTCTTTTCTTCTACTCGCATAGAAGGAAGGAACATCTGAAGATGAGAAGATTAAGGGCAGCTCTGACTGCAGTGACCATGAGACTGTGAAAAATAAGATCCTGAGAAGTGCAAGCTAATAGACAAACATCAGGATTACAGCCAGCCATATCCTGGATTGCATCAAGATAAGTGTGACCAGCAGGTCAAGGGAGGTGATTCTGCCCCTCTACTCTGCTCTCATGAGATCCCACTTGGAGTACTATGTCCAGTTCTGGTCCTTCAACACAAGAAGGACATGAAGCTGTTGAAGAGGGTCCAGAGGAAGGCCACGAAGATGATCAGAAGGCTAGAGCACCTTCCCTACAGCAACAGGCTGAAAGAGTTGGTGCTCTCCAGATTGGAGAAGAGAAGGCTCCGGAAGGACTTTATAGTGGCCTTGCAGTACCTGAAGGCGGTCTCCAGGAAAGCTGGGGAGGGACTTTTTATAGGGAAATGTGGCAACAGGACAACGGAGAATGGTTTTAAACTGGAAGAGAGTAGATTCAGACTAGATATTAGGAAAGAATTCTTTTCTGTGAGGGTGGTGAGACGCTGGAACCTTTTGCCCAGGGAGGCTGTGAATGTTCAAGGCTAGGCTGGATGGGGCTTTGAGTAACCTGGTCTAGTGGGAGGTGTCCTTGTCTGTAGCATGGGGTTGGAACTACATGATCTTAAGGGTCCCTTCCAACTTAGACCGTTCTGTGATTCTATTTTTCTGTGATTCTAGTGACATCCCTCAGGGCTCAGTGGAGGGATCAGCATAGCTTTCATTAATGACCTGGAGGGTGGAATGGAGTGTACACTCAGCGAGTTTGCAGCTGACATCAAGCTGAAGGGAGTAGTCAATATAATGGATGGTAAGGCTAGTATTCTATGAGAACTGAAGAGACTGGAAAAAAAGTTCTGAAGGAGAGCTCCCAAAGCTCAGAAAAAGCAATGTAGAATCCCTACATCTTGGTTGCAGTCACTCTGTGTACTAACACAGGATGGAATTAGCTTTGTAGAGAAGGACTTCACTAGGTAGACAACAGGCTGAACAAAACTTGAAGTGTGCCTTTTTGGTAAAGAGGAACAATTGCATCCTGCACTTCACTAGCAAGTGTGTAGCCAGTAGGTCCAAGGAAGAATTTCTTCCTCTCTATTCAGCAACAGTAAGAGTATTTGCTGTGTCTGGAGTGCTGTGTTCAGTTTGGACTTCCTGGTAAAGAGGTCATGGATTAAGTGCAGTAGAGGCTTCCAAAGTGGTGAGCGCTGGACATACAAGAAGAGTCTGAGAGCTGGCTCTGCTCAGCCTGAAAAAGAGGTTGCTTGAAGTAGCCCTATTGATATCTATAAGTAGTCGGTCAGAGGATAGAGAGATGATGAAACCAGAATTCACAGAGGTGCAGTAGGATAAGAGACAACAGATACAAGCTGGAACACTAAAATTTTTAAATAGAGAGTAGGAAATAATTTCTTAATGTAAGAGTGCTCCACCGCTATAAATGCAGCACAGCTCTCAGTCCTTGAGTGCATTCAAGACTAGATTGGAACTCTGAACAGCCTGATCTGATTAGATGCTTTGAGCAGGAGTTTGAACTAGATGACCTTCAAAGTTCGTTTCCAACCTACAGTACTCTGAGTCTGGGACCAACTAAGTGTTGGCACTGAGGAACTGACATTCAGATGACATTTTGTAGAATTCTGAAGTGGTTCATTCCAAACTCAAATAGAAAAACAAAGCAGGAAGAAATAGTAGTTTGACTCTCAAAGTTGATAGAAGTTTCAAGATCTTTGAAATTCAAGACCTGGAGGAAGGCATTTAACTAGAGGAAAAAGAGGAAGATCTATGGAGATTCAAAAATATGCATGAGAACAGCTCTGTTATATGGTGTTGACATAAGTACTCAACCACAGAGGTGATATGACTCTTCCAGGCTGACAGCAAGAAGGCAGTAATTATTAAATATTTTCTTTCTTATTTTGGACAAAACGTAGTCTGTAAGTTTTTAAAAGCTCAATTTTGGAGTCCATATAGAACTATCCTTCAGACAAAGACAGCAAAACTGCTTTTGTACAAAGCAATTTGTACACAAATGTATACAAAGGTCACTTTTCTGCCACGTTCGTTTATCTCTCGGACACCTAGGTGAGTGCTAGAGTTTTCTTGAGGAAGGCCAAAATATTTGTTTTGAACTTGCTTGCCAAAATGATTGCATCATTTTCTCTGTAGCTTGTATAAAGTAAAAAGAATTGGCCCAGAGATGACACCTCACATAACACAGTTTCAATGTGAGTAGTTGATGTCTAGCATAGTGTATTAGGTTTGTCTGCCCAATATTCAACATTTATTTCTGCAGCATAACAGTTTACAGAAAATCATAAGACACATGTCTTATGATAAAGAAGATTAAGAGAAACTCAAGCAGTTCAGTAATTGTACCCTATAAAGCAAAAACTGTAGCCCTTGCACAGCCACAGACTGTCTGATTAACTTTTTATTAACAGGGAAATGAAAGCAAAGAAATAAACAGAATTACAGAGACAATAAACTGGGGGATTCAAAATTAAAATGCTTTCTGCCTTTCAGTAAACTTGTCCACAGGACATGTTAATAAATAACTGTTCAAACATTTTGGGCAGATCATGTGCAGAAAGCAGGAAACATTGCAAGGGAAAGCACACGAAAAAATGTTTTCTAGTGGTTTACCTTTTTTTCACAACATTTCAAAGAACTGTGCAATATGAATATAGGAAGTAAATCTTTTCCCCTAATCTCGCTTCAAAACCCATATGTACATTTAAAACTTGAAGCAGTTAGTAAATATGCTCTTTTTCTAAGATATTTTTTCACATAAGGCAGATACAGCAGTTGATCAAAGAGAACTTACCAAAACAAAACCAAAAATCAAAAGAAGTGTCTGTCAACAGCTTCCTAGGACAAGATGTCGTTTTGTTTTAAATAGTCTTTTCCTGCTTGCCTAATAGTAATACTTTTTGGTTTTTTGTTTGTTTTTGTTGTTGTTTGTTTTTTGGCCTTTCTAGGTGTATTTGCCCTCTTCTACATTAGTAACAAGTTCCGAACGTATCCTTTCACCTTCAAAGACCAACTCATTATTTCCTACAGTGGTCTTCGAGGAGCCAGCAGCTTTTCTCTTGCGTTCTTGCTTCCAATGAAACTCTTCCCAAGAAAAAAATTGTTCATTACTGCTACACTTGTAGTTATATATTTCACCGTGTTCATCCAGGTAACTGTATTTCTTAATGAGTTGCTTTCACATATCTGAGGAGAATTGTTTATTCCACTTGGCTTACAGTGCCCTGCAAGGAGGAACTGGATCTTCTGGATGTCCCATGCTCTTTATTTCCCCATACAAAGATTTCATATACTTTAGAGTGCCCATGAAACTCTACACACTTGTGGTTAGGCACTTAGATCCCATCAGAATGTTTCAATAAACCAGTTTTGTTTCTGTATCCCCTTTTTAAATGCCAGATTCTCTAGTTGTGCAATAGGGAATTGGGAGCAGCTGAAAATGGTTTCAACATTACAAAAAATAATAATTTTGAAAATATTGAAGTGTCAGGATTGTAGGGACCTCGAAAAGACAATGTTTTCATTCAAGTGAAGTTTTTTTTGTGTGTGAAATTTGACAAAGAGTCACTTACCTTACGTAGTTAAAATGCCTCGATAAATATTATACTGATTTTAAAAATAGCCATATATATATATTAAGTTTTTGAGTTTTAATCCTCTTCCAGTTTAACCCCTAATTACTCTAAGAGAAAAATTTTCTGACAGATTAAAATGAAATCCATTTACTTGCTTTCTCTCTTTCTTTTTTTTTTTTTTTTTTTTTTTTTTTTTTTTTTTGAATGTTTATTAACATTTTAACATCTCAACTCATTTTTTCCAAATGCAGGGAATCACGATTGGACCATTGGTCAGATATCTGGATGTTAAAAAGACCAACAAAAAGGAGTCCATCAATGAAGAAATTCACATGCGAGTAAGTTTTTGATATCAGTAGCTGGTACTCTAAAAAGAAGAAAAGAAAGGGTGTTTTAGCTCTGGATGAAGTTTAGAAAATTTGGAGGAAATCCTAGGCATAATATTTAAAACATGATTTTTCATTTGAACCCATAGTAGCTGCCATATTTGTACCATAATAGTCACAGCATAGCAGATCTCTTACATCTGGATACTTGTAACTGTGGTAGGAAAGACACATAAAAGTAGAATTTATTAAATGCACTTATCATCCTTTCCAGCTAGATTTGTCAGATACCTTTGTTGTTATCTTTTGATTGCTTATAAACACTGACACCTTAAAGTTTTAAAGTTTTACTGAACTGAAATGTGTTGAACCATTGGTCTGCAAATTTCACTCCAAATTATTCTGAATAATGGTATTTTTCCCTTTCAAACATTTGCTTTAGCTCTCAAGTTACCGATATACAAAATAACAAAAAACTACTCAAACCGACAGTAGCACTAAACAAAATATAAGTATGTGCTTTCCTTTTCACAGTAGGAATGTATCCAAAATTAACTAAAAGTTGTGCCTTAAACACATTCAAGGACACTGGCAAAATCAGAAAATCTCAACTGATTTCAACTTGAGGTGAACTTAATTCTTGCTATTTCAGCTTTTACACTTAGCTTTGAATAAGTTTTGTTTAAAATCAAAATGTATGAAGAATTGGTCATTTTCTATCTATTTATTTCTGTAATGCTGGAAACACATAAAAAAAAAGATGATTGAAGATTCTGATTGTAGTGATGCCGTTCTCATGATAGTATGCAAAATCATCAGAGGATTTGCAGTCTTGGGGTAAAAGTTATAGTGTAGAGTACCTGCCTTCATGCATGTGGAAGGATGTCAGGTATGCTGAGAGGAGACTTGCATCACAAACCCAATAATTTAGGTTTTGGTCGTGGTAGACAAAGAAGAGAATGCTGCTTGGATGCTCAGTACTGTTTTCTACTGGGAACAGTCCTTTACGTGGGTCTGTGTTTTGCTAAGTGATGGTAAGATTGTGGTATATTGACAGAATTACCACTTCAATCAACATATTGACACAGCAGCCAAGCACAGGACCCGTGACAGTGCATAACGGGATATTGGCCCTGATTTTTAGATGTTTTCAGAATTAACTCACCCTCCCCATTTAATAATCTCAAAATCTTGTCAACAGTTGCATATTTGTGGTGACACCATTTTCTCGTAATGACTGCTTTTTTTTTCTCTAGTTGATGGATCATTTGAAGGCTGGTGTTGAAGATATATGCGGACATTGGAGTCATTACCAGCTGAGAGATAAGTAAGCATATCTTACTCAGACTGTTACAATAAAATAGCCTATCATCTGTGATGTAAAATAAAAAAAGTAAATAAAATAAGAAATCCATCTTATGCCCCACGAGGCAAAAATAGCATGAAAATATTTGAGACATTCAGTGTCTCTTTTTAAAGGTGAACTCCTGAGTAACAACTCTCTTGGGAGTGCAGTGCCTATATGCTGTCTGCTAAAATGCTTCTGCACAAACAGGGAGAAAATGAACCCTTGTTAAAGAAAAACACAGTAGATAAACTCATGTTGCCTGCCTCAGCTTTGGATGCTGTGTGTATGCTTTGGCATAAATCTTTGATCTGTGGCAGTGCTTCCTTAGGATTTAGATTGGATTTGGAGTAGGGAGTGGTGTTTCACCGCCTCTCTCTTTAAGCCTCTTTGGCAAATATTATCCTTTGTAGGTGAAAACGAATTCAGTGATAGTTACCCATTTGTTCTTACAGGTCTTTGTACTCAGTCAGCTTTAAATACATAGCATGTAACATATATAACACTGCAGGAATTAGTGGAATATAAGTATCTATTAGCCAAGTTGATAGCTTCAAGCTAGTCTTTACTCAGAAACCACAGAACCTGTGATAGGTCTTCTATGAGCAAGATAAGGTGATTTTTTGGAAGTTTTGTGGATCCAGGCATTGCTCAGAAGAGACCAACCCAACATTCTGAGCTGCCTTCTTCCCCAAGTGATTGCAGTGGTCATGCTGGCCAGCACCTCAGCATGTGAATGGAGGTGTTGAGACATACCTTCCTTTTTCTCAGAAGCCATGGGCTGAATGTTGTCCTTTAGGCTGTGCTTAGACTTCTGTGCCTGAGTCCTTTGGCTTACCTTTCAGTACTGGAATCCAGTAATCCAGATTGGTGTCTGCTGGGACATGTTGCAGCAGCCATTACAACTGGGTTTTCCCTATGGGAGTGCAAAGAAGAAGGCTAGTTTACATACAGTTCTTGTCCCATCAGGGTATGAAGATGCAGATAGGGTACATAACTGGACCTGGATGCCGAAATGTCTTTCTGGTTCTCAAAGTAGAGATAGCTTTAGGCTACCCCCTGAGGCTACATCAATGCCTGTGCGGCCAATAGGCTGAACAAATCACTCCTGAAGCAGTAATTCCATTCAAATAACTGCATTTCCACATTCCAGTGAGAAAAAAGTATTATTTCCTCTAGAATGCACATCTCGGCAACTATGATAATTTTGTCCTTTTTTTTGTGAATGTAACGTTTCAGTTCAGAAGCAGAATCAAATAGCACATTGTATGTGAAAACATTTGATGTAAGATAATTGTATTCACTAGATTTTTCTCTGTAGCTTTAAAGATGCCTAACATATGTGTGTCAGAATTAATTTGATAACTAGATTCAGATAACTAGAATTAATTAGATAAATAGATTAAAAAGAGATAACACTCCAAATAGCTGCCTGGTACACAGAAAAACATGAAGAGCTCCATTTTCGGTGGAAACTTTTATATACCTGTCTTTTCTATTAAAGTATAAAGACCAGATTTTAAGAAAAGAAAATGTGCAAACTCTATTGCTTTTTCTTAGCATTGTGGAATGCATTACCTTGCTGTGGTAATATGTTCCTTTGATAGAAAGCTGTAAGAGAATTTGCTGCTGTGCTGATAAACATCTGCCTAAAAGGACATACCTGTTCCAAACCACACACATACATTCACACTTAAATTATGCCATACATTAGAGATATTTTTCAATCTGCAGCATGCATGTACATAGCACTTTGAGGTCCATTCAACCCCTCTGACATTCAGAATACAAAGAAATACATTTTCTCCACTCTAATTGTCAGGATTCAAAATTATCAGCAGCATAATGGGCCCAAAATATTTCAGGGGCATTTGGAGCATTATTGGTGGCTGGCTGAATAGGCCAGGATTACTGTAAGAGCAGCTGCTGCTGTTATGCTCTATTAGAATACAATGTTTGTACGAAAGCATGGAAACTGGCCACGTTCTTTTCTTACAAATGTGGTAGGGTTATATGCAAACATGTTCCCAGCCCTTTTTTTTGTTTTGGTTTTTTTTTTGTTTTGTTTTGATTGTAGCTTTATTCTTTCTGTTGTCCAGTGGGTTTCACAATCTCTATGGACCAGCAAACCACACCAAATGTGCCCCTAAAAGTCTCTGTTCACTTGTACTTCAGGGGTCCACAGGTGCCTCCAACTTGGATTCAGTTTCTACTGCTAATTTATGTGTGCACATTTGAATGAACATCAGCTTATTTCCACAGAAATAATAACAACAACAACAACAAATTTCCCTACCCTTTATTTTGGCATCTCTTTTACAGATTTAAGAAGTTTGACAACAAGTATTTGAAGAAAATCTTAATTCGGGAACATCAACCCAAATCCAGCATTGTGTCATTGTATAAAAAGATGGAAATCAAACTGGCCATTGAGATGGCTGAGAATGCTATGAAAATTTCAGAATCTTCCACAGCTTCTTTACAGTGAGTATGGGAGTCAGTGAGTATGGCAGAGTGAGTATGGCATAGTAAGGACAAGATGGAAGGAGAGAACAAAGAGGAACCACTCAAGAAATTTTATGACTTTAACAGAGAAGTCAGATAAAGACAGTAGTGAGGAGAGAAGGTGTTTTGGGCCAGCACTTTGGCACTCAGCATATTTGCACATTGATTCTTTGTTCATGGAATGAAAATTAAGAACAGCCACCATTTTTTTTTTTTTTTTTTTTCCTTTCTATATTTTTCTTCAGTGATGGGCAGTTTGGAAGAGACATCACGAGTCAGGTGTGGAAGGGTTTTGCTCATCACTGCCAGCTGCTGAGAGAAGTGAAGGAGAGGATAGAGGAAAGGTCTTGATTCCAGTATCTCAAGCAGAAGAGAACAAATTTCCTTCTAGCATTTGCAGGTTTTTTTACTTCAGATTTCAGTCCCTCAAATTTTCTTATATTTTGGTACTTCCGTACCCAGCACTAGCAGAACATGGTTGCAGAGAAGACAAGAAAATGGAAAAAGAGACAGGAGGGGACACAGAGAACACTTTCGGAAACTTACTCTGGATTTTCAGCAGGGAAAATAAGAAATTTATATCAGTAAGGTTTCCTAGTTTTCTCAGTACACTAAATGAATGCTAGTTCTCCCAAGGCATATGCCCTTTCATTTTGCAGCATCCTTTGGCATGGGCCAGCATATCTTCTTTAGTGAATGCTCTTCTCACATCACCCCAAAAAGTTCAAGTAACAACTGGAATTTAAACTAAAATCTCTCTTGAAACTGACATAATCGTGTCAAGATTCATCTACTTTCTTGAAACTGAAGACAGTTTGCTGTGTAAGACCTAGCCCTTCTCTTTCTAAGTCATTCTTTGCCAAATGGATCATATTAAAAGAGACTGTGTGTCTGCAGGCTCCTTTCTGTCTGCTGTATTCCCTTAACTGCTCTGAGTCTAGAGTAAATGTGCAAGGTTGGTAGACTGTCTATGGTAAACAAACAATTTTCCTTTCTTTTTTTGACAGAAAGAGAAAATAAGACAAATTGCTTCAGATTAGTTCAGAAATTCTCTCGTGAGATAAGTATTTAGATAAAAAAATATTCTACAATAAACAGCTGAGATGATAGACTAAGATTTGCCAGCTCTACTTTAGCTGCAAATGAATTTTACTGTGCATCAATCTGTAATGTACAGTTTTTCCTACTGAGATAGCCTTTTTAAAAATAAAATGTCACCTTTAAAAAAGGTGTAGCTTTCCTGTAGCTTGGAAACTTTCTGGTCCTTGGGGGCTACAAGAGTGTTTCAGGAAAATACAAGCTTTCTCAACTCTGTTCTTGAAAAGGTGTCTGGTGCTGAGCCCTGGAGGAGGCAGAATAGTGAGCTAATTGGATCTGTGGTCTGACCCAATGCAGCAGTTCTTATACCTCTGTTCTTTTGAGTAATTAACTAAACTTGCCTAAGACTAATATGTTTCTGAATGAGAACATGTGTAAATAGATTGATTAAATATTGCCTGTCCTTAGATGGGGTACAAAAATCTGGCCATGAGCCCGTAGCAATTTGAAGCCAATTTCCACCTTATACCATATAACGCAGTATTTGCAGTGCCATGGTAGTGAGAAAAATAATCAGCAATTCTGGTCACTTCAGTCGTGTTAGTGACACATGGGGAAATATTCTATAACAATCAAGGCAGATGTCCAATGCTGTGGATTAGCTCTGTGCTCAGGTATTGAATTCACGTGGGTGGGAGTCCTGCAGGTGAAGTTAGTATTCAATATGCAGTAAGCATTTTCAGTGTGAACCAGAGAAATGGAAATAGAACATTATGTTATGATGGCTTGGAGAATATCAGTCTTAGAAGTAAGGATTTTAATGGCAAAAACATAGCCAAGCAAATACAATTAAAACTGTGTTTTTATGGTTGGATTTTGGGGAAATACTCCCTATAAATACCTATTAGAGAGATGTTTCACTTCTGGCATTTTATTTATTTAACTCACTTCAAGAGATAGGCTATAAGCCTTCAAATGACTTAGGACTGGTCACTTTTTCTGTATTGACATGTGGACAAGTATGCAACTAGAAATGTAAATAGGTAATCTGATGTCATCTGCTCATTATTTCCTCCTGTTTGCTCCCATCTTCAAGTTGCAAAGGCCTAATGGAGACATTGGGTGAAATGAGGATCAGAAAGGTTATTCCCTGTGACATCAACATCATTTGTATCAGCTATGGTTATTCAATTTGCTGTACAAAAACAATCCAACACTGTGTTTCAGAGAGCAGTACAAGTTAACAGGCACATTAGCTTATGTTTGCTTTCACAGTTGTGCCCTAGCTTCTCAGTCCCTGTCTTATCCAAAGAGAACTTCAAATAGGGGCCGCTGAGAGACTAGTTTCCTTGATCTGGAAAGTAGCATGCAATGGGCTGTCCTACAGCCTGGGATATGCCAGACTCAATAAGGGAGAAAGGTGCACTGAAAATACTCACATAAGCCTGGGAATTTGGTGTTATCCTTGAGAGCTGGAAGCAATTAAACCTATCCAAACAACCAACTAACCAACCAATCAAACAAAAAAGCTAGCTGCATTGAAATTAGATGTTTCTGTTGGTCTGTTTTCCCTGCTGGTAAATATCTAGGTTTGTTGTTGCTGGTACTGGGAATTGATCAGTGTCAATCATACCTTAGTTGGGATAGATTTCTTGAAGCCGAGATAAGATTTATGGTAAAATTCAGAAAATGAGTACATTTCTTTCCCTCTGTCTTCTTTTATTATAGTACAAAATGTGGTAATCTTGTTAAACTAGCTGTGATTGCAAAATTCAAGCATTCAAGCAACATTCAGATGATTACAGCATATTCTTAATTAAATTTCAATCTACCTTCCTTTGCTGTTAAAATTTATTACAGAGGGAGTAAAAATTGGGTACACAAAACTCTGGCAATACTGTACATTGATAATAATCTGTTCTTTAATTGCACAGTTTTCAAGCAGAACTTTAAGGACATCAGTTAGTTGAGAATAAAGACATGATAAAAGTTTAAATAAGAGAAAAGGAGGAAAATGGAGAAAGGAAAAAAACAGAAACAAAAAGATGAACTCGACTGATTCATCCTGGATAATGACTTTCTTCTTTTCCTTTCTTTTCTTGGGAACCAAACACTATCTCTCACACAGACTGATTTAGTAAACCCAGTTAATGTTTCACAGCAGCCTTCATCTTTGTTTTGCTAGTGAAAAGGCCAGGCAGTTACAAATGACTATACTCTTCTTGTCCCAGTTTGCTAAAAAATGCAAAGATTACCATCTTTTAGGTAGTTCTTTCATTTTAAATGGAGGAATGGGCATAACACCAAAGAAACCCTGCATGTTCTCCTAGTCACAGAGTAGATCTCAGACTTTTCAGTTAAGATGTGCTATATTTCTTAAGGATGTGCTGAAGAGGAGTTAAAGCCAGGAGGACAGCAAAGCCCAGTCCCTAATGAAGAACAGATTTAAACAGAGGAAGAAACTGGAATGCCTGCCTGTTGGCTGCTCAGTCCAACATATGGGGAGTTTCTGATCACCTCTGTGTATTGATAAAGCTCAGGAAGGAGTCAAGTCTGCTATAATTCATTCAGCTTTGAATGATTTTGTGGCAACACTGCTCACTGAAAGGCTCTTCACAGTCTTAATGCTGAAATCAGATCATGCTCTGTTTGATGACAAGAGCATTTAATCAGCTTAATATTGTATTTAAACTTTTTTATTTACAGACACTGTAGAAACCGGCGTGATACCAAGCTCTCCCCTGCAGAGGTGGAGTCCATGAGGGATGTCCTGGCCCATAACCTGTACCAAGTGCGACAAAGGGTGCGTGAGCAACCTGCTGTCATGCAGTATTTGCTGATTGAAGGCTTTTGTTTACCCTCTGCACCTCATGGCAAGGGTGATGGTAGTGGTGGGACCAGCAGCAGCTGTGCTGAGAAGGCAAGGAGTTCTGCCTAAGTGGAAAAATGGAAAGCATGGTTTTCCACCAGCTCTGACATCAGTGGGAAAAGCCAAGAATATCCAGGAGTGAGCTGTAGAGGTCAGGCTTCCCTCACTGAACCTGCAACTTAGAAACAGCTTTTGAGGCTGACCTTCCAACCTTGTCCTTATAGGCACCCATGACCTGTAGCCTGCTCCAGCTGAAGTCCACCCATCCCTATAGCCACGTGTGCCACCTGCCTCACCCTAGTTCAGCCCGTAGTTCAGCCCGTGTATTTGAAGCAGCAGGCACAGGCACGTTTTATGTGTCACACCAAAAAGGCATAGCACAGCCTCTCGGGGACCCAGCATTCTGCCCAGGTATGGGAAATTGGGCAGGTGTCTTGCTTGTCAGGACAGTAGATGGTGGCAGATGGCACTGGTAGCTGCTGAGGAACCCTGGGGTAGCAAGGCTTTTTTGGGGGACAACAGGATGGCAGGTCGCCAGCAGCCATGATACTGCAGTGCGGAGTGGTAAACATCATGTAACTGAAAGTCAGTTGGGAGGCAGGCTGCTGCATCCTCCCTCTGCGTGGGAGTTGCAGCTTCCCCTCGCCAAAGGAGGAAAAAAGAAAAATTCCACATCCTCTGCAGCTTTGTCTGACAGGCTTTTGCTGCTCCCCTCAGAACTAATACCTTACTGGGGATTTGTTTTACAGAAATTTGTACAGATTCCAATGCAACCCAAGACATCCTATCTACTTAATTCAGTCTTGAACCCAGAATATGCAACTGTACAACTGAGTGATCTCATGCAGCAATGAGTTGGAGAGGATATATTGCAGTAACCTTGAAATTATGCAGATAAACTAAGCTAACTCGCATAACACACATTAGCTAGAAAACACTATGCCCTGCTCATTTAAATATGTCACTATTAATATGATATTCATTCTCAATTTTGTTTGATTTGCCATGGCCAATTATCCTTATAATATTAATTTCTTATCTTTCCAGTAACAATTTGCATATATGGCTGCCTTCATTTAGATAGCTGAAATGAACTCTCTCTTTTCAAAATCAATTACAATAATGACCATTAGTGCCAGTCACTTCCTATGTGGCATTGAAAACTGTGTGCTTTGGAAATGAAAGATTGGAAGTAAAGTAATACTGCTTCTAATACTTCACTTTAAACTTTGAAGGCATGGGGATAATTTGCCCTGCCAGATCAATTTCAGAAGGAACCAATTCAGGTGAGATTTAGGCTAGATTCTGCACTTAAGTTTCTCTTGTCTTAAAATCCTCTGTTAAACATTTATTTTTATTTATTTTTTAAGTCAGAGAATTATTCTCTTCTCCTCTGTTTCACAAGATATTAGCAATAAATTAAGAAGCTTATCCTAAAAAAAAAGTTCAGTGCTAGGGTAATATTGAGGTATAATATTAAGGGATTAAGTTCCAAATATGGAAAGCAAACTGAGCTGTGCATTGCTTTCAGGAGATACTCTCTAAGCATTACCTTTACATCTCAACGTATCTGCAACTTGCTCTGGCTCAGTAATATTAATACCAAAGTTCAGAGATGGGTTAACAAGCTATCCTGAGACCTACCTGAGATCTGTTACTCCCAGTTCCATGACCAGAAGAGGGCTGAGAAAGGGAGGCCAAGCTCAGAGGTGCTGACAGGCTTGTGCAGGTGGATATGTTTTACGGTGCACTTGGAGCTGACATGAGTCTACCAAAAAGGACATTGAAATCATAGAATCAAGGTTGGAAAAAACACTAAGATCACCTCATTCAACCACCAATCTACCGCCACCATGCCCACTGAACTATGTTCCACAGTGCCACATCCACATGTTTTTTGATGACTTCCAGGAACAGTGACTCCACCAGCTGCCTGGGCAGCCTGTGCACTGCCTCACCACTTTTTCTGAGAAGGAATTTTTTCCTGATATCCAACCTGAAATGCACCCTTGCTGAGCAGGAGCAATGTTAGTGAGGCTGCCTTTTTGCTCAAGGTACAGAAGAGACTCCTATAAAGTTGGTAGTGTGCCCTTGGCCGTGCTATCTTTGGTCTGCACAGCTTCTCCTTATTAACATCACATGTGCAAAGGGAACTAACAGGGTGTGCTTTCTGTTACAGGCATCATCATACAACCGCCACAACCTGCCTTCCAACGCCAGCGAGAAACAGGCCCAGGAAATCCTCATCCGCCGGCAGCACAGCCTGAGGCAGAGTTCTAGGAAGGGGAATAGCTTACCTTGTGGTAGACCGGTACCTGTTATGCAAACTGCTATTCTTGTAATCAAAACACTAAAAAGTGCCTCTGCTTCTCTGTAAACAGGGCGAGAGGCACCCATCTGTATATGCTTTTTGCAACAATTAAAGTGGATGTTCTCTTCAACATGGTCATACAGCATCTTAGCAGAAAAAGTCCTTCACTTAGCGTGTGGACAGCAGCATTTCTTATGCCTTCCTCTTTATACCTTGGTCAGAAATCACCTACTGTGGCTGTAAGAAGTAATGTAACTTGCATTGCGGTCTCATGTGCAAAATAAGAGTAAGATTTTTCTGATCAAATGTTGACATTAGATAGCATAGACATTTACAGCTGAGATAATCACAGTTCAAGAAGAAAAGCAAGTTCTTGCTGGACAAAGTTCCATTTAATTCTTAGTTGTTACCTGAAATAGGATACGTGAATCTTAGAAGAGCATATTCCTATTCTTCGACTAAACACTAATTTTCACCAGAGGTGAAGTTGTGTTAAACTCATTTTTTTTCTGTACACAGGTTAATGCCACAAGTGTGCACTACCTCTCCTTGCCGCAGGGCCACAGTGGCCAGCCCACTAGGCAGAAAGCCAGGCATGTTACTTTTACAGGTAATGGAAATGTTTTGTGCTGTATTCTGCCCTAGCAGTGAGATAATTGGCCAGTTGTTTGATGGATTTAACAGTACTCAATGAATACTCGCAAGGCAGTAGCTGGTCTCTTTAAATGAGCTACACCCTTCTCTCCTATCTTTTTATCTCCACTGTTTATACGGTTATGACTGTTGCAGTTTCTGTCTTGTTCCAGCACCGCCTACTTTTCTGTAATTTCCTCTTGCACAAATACCCCTGTGATCCCTGCAATTTAACACGTGCATGATGACTTCCGTGTAAGCCCAAGAAAGGAAACCGTTTCCTTCAGCCCCATGGACAAAACTGTAAGCGCATTTGTTAGGAGATTCTTATGTCACTAGCCTGATAAGTCTGAGGATGACACACTTCTGTGCCCACATCTCTATTTCCCAGGACAGTGAGGCTGAGAAGGAGCTCCCAGTAGCACACCCACGTACCATAATTCAGCATACACACACACACAGCCAGCCACCCCAAGTAGCACAGCACTCACACAGTTGCACAACACTAACAGCTTCTTCCTGTTTCCTTCTCTGGCTGAACACAGTGAAAGGCTGGTAATGGAAAACTGTGCATACATACACATGTGAACACAGAGTCCCCCAACACGAGCATGCACAGAGTAGATCCCTCTGTAATTGGCACTGGACACTCAGTCTTGCCCCTATCTGTCTCCTGATTCCCCTAGTCTCCCCTTGCTTTGCACTCAGGGATACATGCATACAAACCAGTCTCACTGGTACCTTGTCTGGGCTATGGCCCTACCAGTAGTGACCCTACCAGTAGCCAGTCACAGACCCCGTGCTCTCTCTAATCACTGATCTGCACCTCCTGGTCCACCCAATAGCTAACCCACAGACCTGATCTCTTCAGCATCTGCTATGGTTGCTCCAACATTTACTTCCTAAGCCTCTTATCCTACTGCCTGTGATAGCTAGCAATTTTGCACTGACGTGCATCTACACATTATGTATGAACCTCAGTCTTTCTGACTGCTGTACTCAGACCTTCATACACACATATGCACACTATACAGGGAGCTGCTCTCTCAGGAAAACAAAAGTAGAGTTTAGCAACAATATGGACCAGACAGTCTCGATATGGCATATGGCATGGCTGCACACACATACTGATCAGACTGTATTTACATGCAACCATCTCCTTTGTATCCCATTCTTCCTCTATTTTTTTCTGCTCTTGTTCCTCCCCAAACCATCCTGATCCTTTACATTACCCACTTATGATTCCTTCCCTAAACATCCTACTGTAAGTAGTGTATGATCCCAAAATACTGTCCCGTGGTATCCCAGCAATTACCTGATATCTTCTTTCTTTTTCTCAGCTTGCTTTCTGTGAACATTTCTTTAGTAATTATTGGACAAACCAAACATCTAGTCATTACTTTTGGAGGTGGTCAGGGGTGGAGCAACATGGAATTGCCCAATGAAATATGCAGCAGTAGTGGCAGAGAAAACATGGAATTTAGGACTTGAATAGTCATCAGTATCTCCTTCTGTAATGTCTCTGACTCCTTTCTGAGCTTTCATTGTGATTCTGAAATATAATCAACTATCTCTGAAAATCACTCTTCATTTCTGGCCAAATTAACTGGAAGAGATTAAAACCATGTTTTTAATCATCATCTTTATATCAAACATTGGATGACAAAGATATTCCGTGCAGGTGCAAAATTTTTTCTTCCTTTTCTTTCTGTTTTGCTCTGAAATAAATTAAATCAGAAGAGATTTCTGTAGATAAATCATCCCCCTGGTGCTAGGCACCTACACATGTGGTGGAGGCAGAGCAGAAACCCATCTATTTAGAAGTGAAGATCAAAATTATTCTAGCTGGGGTTTTTAATTTTAATTTATTTATTCTTTTTTCTTGAAGAACAAATTCTTTCAAGTTTGGTTGTCCGGACATCATGGCGGGGAATATGCGTTTTTTTGTGTTTTTCAAAAAAACTCAATTTTTTCTACACATCAGCCTCAAACCTGGAAGCCTTTCAGACACTTTCAAAGGCTCAAGTCTTGCTAGCACAGATAGGTACATTATTTTAGCAGAGTGATGAGTAAATCCTGAAGCGTTTAACATAGATGTTAAATACTAGTAAAAACATAGATGTTTTTACTAGTAGCTAGGCTTGCATTTGAGACCTCTTTTGTGATGTATTTGAATAATTAGACTTCTTGGTATTGTTTCTGACTTCATAAAACTCCACAAAATATTCTGTAATGCTCTTATGAAAATCAATTATATATGAAATTCAAGGCTGAATGCACTGTGCTATAGTCTCTGTCCAACAAATAATTCAAAATGAACTCATCTAAATATAGTCTTATTACTTCTTGCTTCTACTAGAGCATAAAGGTTTTCCTGCAGTTATAGGGGTCTTTTTAAAAATCATCAGATGGAAGGGAAAGCTGGGTGGGGAGTCATAAAGGTATAGAAATCAAATACTTCAAATAATTTAGAATTGAATTTACTCTGAAATGAACATTCAGTTAACATTTTCTGATTCTATGATCTGTTTTAAAATGGTTTGGGTTGGAAGAGACCTTAGCATTCACACCGCTTGAAATGTCTACAGCAGGAGGGAGACCTAGAGGTCTTTCTGGAGTAAGCACCCTCCAGCAAGCTTGGTTTAACTTATACATAGCACAGGCAAAAATTTTAGCAAATGAGAGGACAGAAATGACTGTGAATATATAGATCCTTAAACTAACAGCTCTTCCTGTCATTCATTAAATAAGTCATTTCTTTGGCAGAACATATCAGTCATAGCTTGTGGCACTGTTGTCCTTGACGAATTAAATAGAAACCCTTTAAATTGGAAAATATCTATCCTGTCTTATTGCTCATGGATGATTGTGGTATGTCCACATGGCCTAAAAGAAGAAGGTTCTGATGGTAAAAATTTGTGCTCCTACTCAGTGGAATTAAGCGGAGGTGCATGTCCTCTTGTTTTGTGCCAGTGATCTAGTAAACATTAAATGTAGATAACTTCATAGTTACTAAGTTGTAACAATTTTGTACGTTTTGACTGTGTGACTATACCTAATGCCTGCATCTGGTATAATTTTATTCTTCATGTAGCTTTATCTCCCAAAACTTCCTAGATTTTTATGAGTTGTTTCTTAAATTAATTAATTTGCTAGTGAGTAGTCAGATTACATTTGGCCTTAAAAAGAGTAAAACATTTTGTGAACTCATCAGGATAAAAGAGACAGTTAGGGACTACTGCAGTCACATTTTTATTGTGTACTTGTAGCGCTGCAAGCTGGTATGAGTAGGTCTGACGCACCCAAAGTAATCAAAGCTCCATAAAGTCAAACTTGAAACTGGTTTCAAGTGAAACTGTTTTCTTCCCAATTGTTAATAACAGGTGACTGGTTATCTTGATTTTCAGTGGTTCTAGGGTCTTTGTAGTCACTTTTTGATTTCTGCTGTGAGCTTTACAATGTTTTTCAAACATTGCACTAGATATATTCATGAAATCAGTAGAAAGTTGAAAGATAAATGAAAGAACACTCTTGTCTAAGGAAGTATAAGTTGCTTGGTTAGATAAAGAAAGATATCTGAGTGTGTTTTCTTATTAGGGTTTCAGAGTAGAGGCAAGATCAATAAGATCTTTTAAACATTAGCATTGGGATGAAAGTAAAGATTTATGGTTATTTTTAGATCTTGTCTGTTCTCTTATTCTATAACAATTACTTAAAATCTTTCCATTTCAAGATTTAAAACCATTATGTTGTATAATACTGAATACCCTTTAACTGCCCTTGTCAACACCATGGTGTTTCTCTTTTTTTTTTCCTTCATCATAAAAATTCTGTATTTTCTTTCAGATAACCCTAGAAGTATCTCTGAGGCTGGGATCCCAGTAAAGTTCAAACCCCAGCCCCGACTACGGCCACTCATAGCAAAGCACAGCCAGGAGGAGCTGGTTCCAATGGCACACTTGGATAGATGCGACCATTCGTCCCATTTGTCAGGTCGAAGAGGAAATACGATCAATAGTCATCATTTCACCAGAGCAGACAATCGAGTTGCAATATCAAAGCCTCGAGGCATTGTGAAAAAACGACAGGGGTATGAGTCAGAAGAAGAGACAGCAATGATGGCACCAGCCAGGCCATTAGATATATGAGGAGCAGAGAAGAGCAATGTTTGATTCTCAAGGGCCCTTTGTGCACTGTTCCAGAGAAAATAACAAAGCTCTTATATGAACCAAACCACAATTTTACTTTTGGGACCAGTGCAGTCATTCTCAGATCACTTTTAAGTACTGTATCAAGGTACTTAGCGGCTCGAGGAAGATTCAAATTCTTATATGTTTATATTAAACTGGCTTTTTGGCAAAACAATGCAGGAAAGAGAGAAACATGATCTTCATAGGGATTTGGGTATGGATTTAGGTAACAACAGTTGGACATTTGCAGTGTTCTAGTTGAGAGCTGATATTGCCTTCTTCTGTTCTAAACTATGAAACTATAAACTATCCAGGGGAAAGAATCACAGGGATGTGGTTAAGACATGGGTTCTCAGAATGGTAACTTCAGAGCTCTAGGCAAGTTGAACCTCAGAGTAGCTGAGATATTCCAAGTAAAATGGGGAAAAAGGCGTTTTGATGGCTCCTAAATACCACTGAAGATGCCTGGAAGGGTACATAAATGAAAATAATTCCTTAGTGGTCATTTTAAGCTCTTGGATATCCACCAGCATTTCAGGTTTTGGCTTTGGAAAAATGCCTGAAGTGAGTTATGGGATGGTCTGGAATTCCTGCAACTTCAGAGCGGAGGCATCACCCACCTACAATGTTTTTAGATGAAGAAAGGAGATATTCTAGTACTAACAAATCCAGAGAGAACTCTTCTGGGAGGGATGCTGTTTGGAGACTAACACAAAGCTCATATTTTTCAAATATGAGACAGCAAAGGTGTACAAAATAGACATGTGCTTACAGCTCTGGTTTAGTGAGGCAGAGGTTTTTGTCATGGAGAAGCTAACCTCCATCTCTCACTTCCACCTTGCTGAGGGTGCCCAAATCACTAGGCTACTCTTTGCACTGAAGCTGGATCTGCACCTTCAGTGGGAACCAAGAGTTGGACAAAAAGGAAAGGAGAAACTAGTCTGACTTTGTATCCTGCTGGCTAGCAGGAAATAAAGGCTCTGTGTTGTGCTGCCAGGTTTTTAGGATTGTAGAAGCATAGAATCCTCAGATCTAAAAGGGACCTTTTAAGGTCATCTAGTCTGACTCTCCTGCAATGAACAGGGATATCCACAAGTAGTTAACACTGTCTGGAACCCGGTCTGTCCTGGCCTTAAATGTCTCCGGGGAAGGGGCATCCACCACCTCTCTGAGCAATCTGTTCCTTACCACCCCCACTGCAAGAGACTTTTTCCTTATATCCAACCTAAATCTCTCCTCTTTAAGTTTGAAACAATTTCCCTTTTCCCTGTCACTACAGACCCTGCTGAAGAGTCTGTCCTCTTCTTTCCTGTAGCTCCCCTTTAGGAAAGAATAGAAATCGTTTCTAATTCTCAATAGAAAGGATGTTTGCCTGTATGTTGCACAGAGGAGCGATTGCTAAAAAGGCAGAAATGACAAGGGACACCTTCACTCAAGCCCCTGGCCTCCTAGCTCTTCTGCTGAGCATCCTTTTCAGTAAACTCCATGCAATCATTTGCTAATTTCAACAGCAGATCTCCCTAATGGTAAGGACAGAGGAAGCAAGAAGCTGTGGGCCTGGGATATATTAGTTGAAGTCTAAACTGCCAATTAAAAACACTGGTCAACTAGCACTTCTGTCTGAGCTTCTTTCTGCAAAATGGAAGTGGTGTCACCAGTGTTGTAAAACTGTAGGTGAGCAGATTTTAAACAAAGGAATAATTTGAGTCCAGAAGTGCATAAACTCACCCTTACAGCTGCACTAAAGTCTGCAGCTGAAAAGTGCACTAAGTTTAGTCACTTTCTTCAAGTTTCGCTCTTCTACTCTAAGCTTGCTTAGCTATCCAGCATGAGATCTGTAAATGTACTGCAGGAAGCAGAAAGATAAGAGGTAGTGATGACAGTGACGCCTTTCTGGTTCTGGGGGAAGATCTTACTGTTAAGCACTTGTCCAAAACATCTTTGAAGAGTAAGTTATGACTTCATCACATTTCATACAATGGATCTCTGATTCAGCGGAGGTAGTGTCTAAACTAACAAATTTGGAAGGCATTACTGGAGAAATTAAAAATAAAAGCTTTCTTTTTTCCCATATTTGAAGGGTTTTTTTTAATATATTTAGCAGATAATAATGAATCATCTGTACTGAAACTGTACTCAGCTTTCTGAATCTTAAATTCTGTTTGCATTTCTTCATTGTGCCAGACAAATTATCCAACTTCCTTTTATGAAAGGGTAAGCTTCATCTTTTGTACTGTCGATGAGCAAACAAACACAATTCTGTATCGGAAAATCAACAAACAAACCCTGCTCACTGAATATGTGTTTCTTAATGTCTTTAAATAAAATCCTTATGCCAGATGTCAATACTACAGCAAATTATACCGACATATAATGAATCTCAATGAAAACATTATTTTAAGGAAGAAAAAGACTTATCATAGTGCAATTGATTTTCTGTGGAACACCCAGTTGCAATATGAAATTTAACTGAGGGCAAAATCAGGTGAGCGGTTGCACAGCTGATGTAGGTGCATGGAAGGGGGAATGGAGAGATGGGATCTGCTTCTGCATCACGGGGTCAGGAGGAGGTGGGATCTCCAAAACCAGCAGTGAGTGATGTGGATTGGAGGCAAACACTGAGGATAGTGATGGATAGAAAGTGGTACTCTGAGAGAAGAGTGAAGAGAAGATACTATCCTGTCTTCAAAGGGAGGCTCAGGAGAGAGACCTAAACAGGAATTACTGTGTGCTGCAAATTCATCATTTCCTCTTAAGAAGATTTAATCAACAGTTTGTCTGGGGAAACTGGAGAGTTACGAACTCTGTGTGAGATGAGGAAGGTGAATAGGACTGTAGAGTGGAACAGAACTAGACATGAATCATGAGAAAATATGTACATTTTGGACAGGGTATTTTTGGAAGACATGCTTAAAACTGACTCCCAGATTTTTTATTGAGTGTAATAAAAGTTGTGGAGCATTTTTATAGTTACCCATTGTAAGTAGGGAGCAAAGCATTCAATTTCCAGTGACCATTTATATCAGAACTGGATAAAAATAATTAAGTCTTTCTAAAATATAAATCAAGCTAGTACATAGCAGGAGGCATATCTCCTACTTTTGGTTCATTTCCTAATCTTTCTTCTCAGGAAATCAGTGAGCCAGATCTTCAGAGAGTGTAAAGCCTTATGGCTTACAGGAGTTAATAGAGCTCTCCCAGCTTTTGCTGTCTGGTCCCCAGACATGTAAAGTTTATTTTTAATTTGCTTTCCTAGCAATGTGAAAGTAGTTCTGGAAAAAAATTTCTTTCTGCGCCATTAGTTGCAGATAATGGGCCTGCTGGCCATTAGCCAAGAAATCACGCTGCATATACCTATACAAAATATGTTCCAATGTATAATGTTGCACTGTTTGTTCGTTTTCATGGTTATTTCATACTTGTGGGAATGAAATTCTCCTTGAAGAATCATATCACTTATGTTTTAAATGGCAATAACTGCGGTAATGTTTCATTACAGGTAAATAATACTGTGTCTGTAGACTCGCAGACCTTGTCTGTAGAGAAAACCGAAGTGTTTTAGGGCAGGAGTTTAGATCCTCTGCTGGTTTGTAAGTCCTCATGTGTGGGGGCATTCCTAAACACCAGCTTCAGCCACATCCTGGAAATGTGTAAGTCTCTTCAAGGTCTCCTCTTCAGACTGGTCCAGAGCTACTGTTTACCCAGGAATTTAAATTGCACTGTGATATAAAGTGAATTGGCACAGAAACTCAGAAAAAACAGGCAGAAAAGTGCTGTGCGTATCAACCCAGCAAGAGGCAAACTGAAAGACAAACTAAGTTTGGATGTACTTAGAGAAATTAAGGAAGGTTTGATGGTTTTCAGAAAAGTTGGCCAGGGTTTCAGGCTGGATACTTGTAGAGAAGAAGTAACTGTGATCATTTTCAGCATGCAAATGATAGTTTAATCCGTGTTTATGGGTGAGGTAGTTTAGAGGACAAGTGATATCTAATGTTAAATCATCAAATCACTATTGATAAATTTATTGACTTTTAAAAAAGAGATGATGAAAATAATTGTGATTATTATTTTATTGCTCATATGTGGGTTTTGAATGTCAACATTTTCAGGGGTTTTCCTGTAGCCTTTAGAACCTTTTAATTATCATATTTACATAGAAAGTGCTATTTAAATGCCTGTGTGAGACTCTGGAAAGTCTGTTAAATGTCTCTAAGCTTCCTTTCTTTATAGCCTCCTTTCCTAATTTTCTGTCTACGTACATGAATCAAACTCAAACATTAAGAGTGGAAAAACAGATTACCGTATCTTTATATTTTATTTACTTTTTAGGTAGGACAATTACGTTTATTGTTTTATCAAACTCACCTTAAAATTTAGGGTGTCACAGTAACATGAGTAATACTCTGAATCAGTTGGGACTGGAAATATACTGGACTAAGTTAGCTAATTTATTTCCTTTTGATAATCTCTCTTAATGTTACCACAAGTGAAACTCTTTTTTTCTTTTCTGGTTTGGTTTCAAGAGTGAACTTTCATGGTTAACAATAGTTCTTGTTTATTCCTAGCCCATCCTTCCTCTTGGAACAATGGGATTTTTTGCTACCTTTCAGTCATAAGAAAATGAGACATAGTCTGAATGCAACAGTGCCAAGCTCAGATTTTGAGGCTACCTTTTCTTTGGCAAATGGTAATCATGTCATTAGAGGGCAGCTGGTCAGTAGTAGATATTCAAACTGAACATCAGCCATGACTTCTTTCACACTGTCCTTGTGGCAGAAAGAGACACCTTGCAAGAAGTGAGCCACATTGAGCTGAGGGCACTAAGTGTCAGTCATCCACATCTGCAAACATGGTTGAGTCACTAGATATCTGCACAATGCCTTCCCATCAGAAACTTATTCTGCTAACTACAAAATTGTCAAGAACTGCAGAATTACAGAATGATTTGGGTTGGAAGGTATCTCACAGCCCACCCAGCTCCCATCCTTGCTGTGGGCAGGGCTGCCCCCCACCAGCTCAGGCTGCCCAGGGCCCCATCCAACATGGTCTTGAGCTCCTCCAGGGATGGGGCACCACAGCTTCTCTGGGCAGCTGTGCCAGCGCCTCAAGAAGCCTGAAATCAAACTGTTTTTGCTAGCATGTACCTCAAGTACTATTTTCGACTTGCTAGTAGATACTGGGTTGAACACCATTTGTTCCTTACTTTACTGTATTATCAGCAGTGAGGAGTGAAAATCATAGGTTGTATGCAAATATCAAAATAAAAGAGCCCTTTTTCTTTGCATGTTTGTTTTTTGGTTTTTGTTTTCTTAGAATCGTGAAGTAAAACTTCTAGCCTTCTAGCTAACCTTATTCATGCCTTTCTTAAGAATATTTTTTCCATCACGGAAGCTTGCACTGCGTGAGGAAAAAAAGTGCAAACAGAAACCAGCGGCCCAAAAATATTCAGCCTCAATTTTATACGATGAATACTGAGAATATTTGCACAGTGTCTTCCAGGTCTGCTTGCACACAAACCACAGATAGCTTAGAGGGGCGGCATCTTGAGAATTATGTCAGCGTTAAAAGCCCGTGCAAAAGGTGGAGAAACTTGCACAAAACAAATGAGCCGTGGGCGTATCTCACACAGGAACAGTGCCAGGAACCAAACATGAGATTCTGGTCCCTTGACCCTATGTCTGCCTTTACTTCCCTTAGGCTTCAGGTGACTGAAACCAACAGAAAGGAACAAAGGAACAAGCTGGAACTGTTCCTTCAGCTCTTTCCATACACACACACACAGAAGAGAAACAACCTGCACAGAAGTGACATTCTGCACCACCTGAAGACGGGCATCAAGATCTACTGCTTAAAAACATTTAGTGTAAGAAAACACCAAAAATTTTGTCATATTTAAAATGTATGTAATGTAAAGAAAATAAAATTCTTCACTTATTTTTCCCGTGATTGTTCTTTTCCAAGAACAAAGTCTGCTCTGCGTGTTTTCCAGAGCAACAAAAAACACTGAAGGGACTTGTGAGGGATAAATATATTATGGGAAATATACTTCTTTCCTTTGAAGCTGAATCAGAAACTCTTGGAATTTATTTCTCCTTCTCTTTACTTCTTTGTTGAGTAAGAAACAGAGATTGCAGGTATTTGATTTGTGTTAGAACTAGGACAAATCTCTTCAGCTTTCTACGTGTCAGTTTTCTCACATGTAAAATAAAGTCACTCAGGGCTATGTCATACAGACGTGACCCAAACTATGAGAGGTGCTAGATTTGGCATGGAAACTCTGGGAACCTTCTGCTCATTGGATCAGCAGATGGAGTGCAGAGATGGACTTGAGGCAGCCTTATGGCAGCTGGACTGCACTCCTTGGGCTGGAGTCCATGGGCATCAGTTCAAGGCAGCCAGTGGCTCACATCTTTGAACAAACATGGATGGCTGCTTTGCAATGTTCTGGCAAGCGATTTAGACTCCATCAGCTCCAATTGGAGCTCAGACACCTGCCCCACTAGTAGGCATCTTCATGGTGAACATCTAAACACATCTGTCCAAAGTGGAAATCCACTGTCCTGATCCTTTAAGCAGTTTTGACAACTATGAATGAATATCACCTTTTCAAAAGTAGACATTATGACTGCTTTGGTTCTGAGATGAGTTTTATTTTCCTGATAAATAAACTGAGGTATTTCTGCTTGTACACATAAAAAGGCAATTTATATTTTTAACAGTGTCTCACTGTGTACAACTCCTATATTCTCTTTAGTTCTGAAGGAGCTTTGTCTGCATTTTTGGCTCAATCTACTGTAATGGATTTTGCAATAGAAAACTGCAAGGCTCACATTACTGCTAGCTCAAATGGACCTTTTGGCTTGAATTCCTCTTAATGATAGATATTGCCAAATTTTTCTTCATCATTTTCTTAATTATGCAAACGTGGATTTAGACGAAAGTGATGATTGCTGATAAATTTGTTAACCAAGCCTTAGAAATTTGAAAGTGCTCTTTCAGAAATTTTTCTCTTATTCTTCCCTGGTGCAAAAATTTTTATCCTAATTTACCAAGAGCTGCAGAACAGATATGACTGCTGGTGCCAAGACCAGATTTGCTGGATTTCCTTGCTCGTAGGAAATGAAAAGAAAGGGAAATATAGCGACAAAACTTAAAATATCACTGTAATAAAAACTGCATAAATTACATTAAGTTCCAAGGATCAAAAGAGATTTTTTTCAATATTTTCCTATCAATTATTATTATTGTTGCTTTTATTTTCAACCTCACAATATTATGCACGAATTTTCTCAAACCAGTCTCTAAAGAGTAAACCAAAACTCTGCTAAAAGAGAGCATTAGTTGTTCTGTTTTATCTCTGGAAAAGGCATGCTTTCACCAAGGAGCAAAAGAGCGGCAGTGACCTCTGTTGATGGAATTAAGCAACATATTTAAAGAGTCAAAAAGGGTAGGCGACACATTTAAATCCTCTGCTAGGACTGAAGAAGGCCAAAAGTAAACAGTACAAAGGGAAGCTTTCAGGTCGCACATGAAAAAGAGTATTTCCCAACACTCTCTGAAGTCAGATTCTTCATGAGGATGGCTGCTTTTTTTTTTAGATAATTAGTTCGCTTTTAGTGTGGAATTCTCACTATTGGCATGAAGATTAATATAGACACTAGCAGAGGTTTTTTTTTTTTTTCAAATGTTGTATTACATTCCAGTAGTTGTCATTGCCAAAAGGAAAACATCATGCTTGTATGTATTCCGTGATTTGAATTTAGTGGCCGGTTCTTTGTGCCAGCCTGACACACTGGATTCTTGAAGTTCTGAGGCAAATAAGCCTTCCACTTGGCAGGCTGCCTGTTTCAGAGACAAGTGTCTAGGAACTGTCATGCCCTTATGGCCAAGAATTTGGAACATGTCTTTATCTGCTAGTTCTGATGTGGGAAAATAATTAAACACGTAAATGCCCGCGAGGATCTGAACCTTAATGCTTAACTTCAAGGTTGGGAGTAGTCTCAGTAAAGAAAAGCACATAAAGATTAATCTATACAGCTCAAGTTATTGAAATCAATAAGAAAACTTCCATCAAAGGCCAAGCAGATAATGGAAATCAGGTTATTACATCCTTGGCTTTTTTTTAGACTTGTGCTTTTTTTAAGGACAGTGCAAAACAGCAGCATAAATTAGGAGGATCAGAGCTCCAAACTGTTAAATTTATTTTGTGGTTTCATGCTGTCCAGTAAATAACTGATACCCACATTTTTGGCTTTTCCAGGAGCCACAGCAATACAGATTGTTGTATTTTTCCTTCTATATCTAGTATTATGGATGGAAGGTTCAACCATGATCACAAAGCTGGGGGTTTCCTAAACTCAGGTATTTTAGTTTCTTAATGCCTTCACCTGGGCATCAGAAGCTTTAATTTTAGTCTGCTTTTCAGAACTAGTTCTATCCCCCGATCCTAAAATATCCTTCTTGTGAAAAACAAATGCATATTGATAATGGCACATTATTATTAAGATGATTCATTATCGTATCTTCATTAAGGCTTCATAAAGAACTACTTCTACAAATGTAAGAGAAATGAAAATCTCAGTTTATTTTGTTTTTAATATTATAAAATCAATCAGAAACTGAAATAATAAACCAGTGCACCATGATACCATTAGCTGGATCTTAGAGTTGTACTTGCGGTGCCAGTGTAAGAAAATTGATCCTGGTTTGCATACATTGTAGATAATGAAAAGTTTATGGCACATTATAAAAAATACACAGTTAGACCATTGTATTGTATTATAGCTACTTATTTGAGGATTTTGTGCTGTCATCAAGGCATCAAGACATCAAGGAAACATTGATGTATCTTCCATATATAACTTACCATACTGAAAAACACCTCTGGGGACTTGTGGGGAATTATGCCTGTGTTTTTTGCTCTGCATAAATCCGACAAATTTTTGTGATGAGTAGTCAGGATGGCAAACACAGCTGGATGAACCTTGGATCAATGATTTCTTTCACTCAGTACACTGAGCATCTTACAAAGACCTCTACAAGATAAGGTGTCCAGTTACTCTGTCACTTCTCTCATGATGCCCCAGGATTCTATTCCTGGGACAACTTATATACAAGTAAACCAATTCTTTATTAGTAAATAAGTAAATTAATTCTTCATTCAGAACCATTCTATATAATTACTTGCTTCCAAATTTGCCTTGCAATGGAGTAATTAATATATGTTTTTAAGTTGATTGATGCAATTCCAAGAAACATTTGTGATATTGAATTTAGTCACAGTCTTTTACACTGGAAGTTGAAATAACCCATGCTCTGATACCTATGTGGTGCCCCAGTTCCATATGTACTATCTTTACTGTCTCAGGTATGGTTTAGGCAGAAGGTTGAGAATCAAAAAGAATTTAAATATCTCATTGCCATTTTTCTGTTGTTCATTCTTATTACCCGCCATTCAGGCTTAATAATGTAAGCTTTTTTTCCACTTTACTTTTCTTGTCCATTTATGAACAAGTTCCTGAGTGATTATTTATATACTGTTCTTCAGAGGTCAGCACTCATGGCTTATCTTGTAGAAAAAAAAAAAAAAAAAGTCAGCAGTCATCTTTTTCTTACATCTGGCAAAGTATCTTTTTTCATACAATTATAACTCAAACTGTTTGACAGGAATTTGTCCAAAGTTAAAGAATATCTTTGGATGGAGATTAAAATGGAAAATTACATCTTCAGAGATGTACTTTTCTTTAAATTACTAGTATGTGAAAACTGTTTTGGAACTTTAATTGCTGCTACAGACTTACTACAAAATAAACTTTGTTATAAACCCTGGCTGATCCTTATCTATAACCAAAAATCTCCACAATGGTGAGAGTATAATACAGGGTGAAATCATGCTTGAAATTTGGAATTTTTTTGCCACCAAATTTAATGAGACAAAATTTTCTCTTTCCAAAAAACTTTCCTTAAACTTCTCCTATTGCATGCATGTGGAGATTATCCAGATCCTGTAATAATTGCTTGATTTTTTACAGTGAGAAGACTTACATACTTTCTGGTTTTGGCACCACACAGAAACATTTGGGCATGATTTCTCAGAGAAAACTGGACAGTCCAAACCCAGAGCTTGAGTGACCTCCTGAGTTGGAAGCCAGCTCCTCTGCTCAGTGCCAGCTCTGAACCCTAACAATTATGCCTGTTTCCATAAACTGCAGCTAAATCTCCCTTTTTTTTTTTTTTTTTTTGACCATTGGGATTTTGGCAACTTTCATCTCTCTGGTTGTGCTGTTTCAACATGTTCCAGGTGGGACAAACCTTGAGAAGGCTTCCTCAAAAGCTACCAGAGTAGCAACCACAGCTAAGTGGATAGATAAAATCTCTTCTAATCACAGAAATGTGGAATGGTTGAGGTTGGAACGGACCTCTGGAGGTCATCTAGTTCAACTCCTAAATGATGTCTCTTTTCTCCTTCTTGTGAGTTGTCACTTGGAGAGGACCTGGGCAACATAAACAGCCACATCTCTTCTTAGCAACAGTCAAAACTCAAATTTCTTCCCAGCACTATAAGAAGAAGTTCTGAATGGTTATAAAGTGGTACATGCAGTGAATGATGAGGGAAGAGCCACCATATTCAGATAGGCCTGTGATTGTAATGACAGCAGTAGGAGAAAATAAGGGTTTAAAATCCACCACATCTGGCTTCAGGCATGTCAGCCCTGACCTCCTTTCATGATCAGCAGTAAGAGTCAGTACTGGGGGCAGAGACTGATGGCCCTATAGTGTAATGATTTCCAGGAGTCCTAAATAGAGCTCAGGATAACAAGATGGGCTATAGGGACACATGAGCAACGTGGAAAATAAAATAATATCTACCTTTTACTGATGCACTGGAGGTGTTTTAATAGATTTTTGTGTCTCCACGAGCAGCATCATCTGTACAAATGTTCTATGATTCCAAGACTGAACCTGTAAGGAGTTGTTAAAAGCATATTGATAGTTGGTGTCATAGATTTCCATTAGCTGTAGAAAATCCAGAGCAGCCTTATCAACATCTGTATCATGGATTCTGTACCTTTAAAATAGCCCAGTTATTTTACTCAAATAACATATCTGTTCCTATGTGAATTGTCCTGAGCTTTTCTGAGAATCCCTCTGCCAGGGCTGAAGGACATGGAGGATCAAAGATATTAGCCTTCTGCTATTGGAACTCAAGCAACTTCAACTTTTAAATTTTAACTTCTGCAATAGAAAACACGGATCAGACTGCTTTCTTTTTCCTCCCTGAGGTTTTTCAGAAAACTAGCTGATCTGATTTATTTCTAAACAGTGTGGGATGGGCTTTGCTGCCATTACAGGACCAGCACCACTACACTCATCTAGCTGAGAAACACATCACTTACGTGACACATTTCTGTCCTCACAAAGGAACCCAAAGGTGATTGCATAGGACAGGTTGTAGCCTCTGCTCCTCTCCTTGGAACTGTTATTGATATTTTCCTGGCATTTCACCTGAAAATGAAGAAGCTGGTTTATTTATCTCCTTGTATCAACAGACGATATAATTCATTGGCCAATCTTATCACTAGGAATTTTGCTTTATTTATTTATTTATTTATTTTTCCTGTACAGTTCTTTGTCAGGAGATACAGATGGAACATCACTCAGGAAAAGTTAAAAAAAAAATAGAATGCTAACTAAGAATCAGGTCAGTGATCATGAACATCATTGCTCCACATTTTTTTCCACAGGGAGATGTTCCAAGAAAGACTGTTGCACAAGACAGCAGAGAACCAGGGTCAAATACAAGGAAATGGAAACAAGCATATCAATAAAGCAACACTGTCATGACATTGAGTACATTCATTTGTCTTAAACATTGGGATGCATTCTACCATTCCTTTGAACTCTCCTATTTTACTTTCTGTAACAATGACTAGGACTGAGATCTCTATGAAAACACAAGAGATTCCACCACACCCTTGCCATTACCTTTAGGACAGCCAAAAAACCTGCAAGAAATCAATATTTTTCTTTACCTAATTACATATACAAACATATTTTAAGAGCTATATATAAAACAAATAATTATTCCAAAGTACAATCATTCATGTTGAAGTCTAATATTATCAAGTACGTAGGTGGCAAAAATGCTTCTCCTTTTTTGGTCAAGTACAACCTATCAGAATGGGGCTACTCTTGCCTGTGGTTAGAATTTTTTTTCTTTTGCTGTATAGCTTTCTCTCCGATTAAAAGGTATACTTACATTCTGATCTCCATATGTCATTGTGGGATCAAATTCTGCCTTTTTTATTTTTTATTTTTTTAATATAACTTGCAAATGCTTGAGATTAAATCAGTCAGGAACTTTGACATTTAAGTTTCTACGCTGAGCTAAATGATTTAAAAATACAGGAGCAGGTTCCAATTGCTATATCAGCATTCATGAAGAAAGGGAGGAATCCTTTAAATTGTAGCTGTGTCAATCAAAGATAATTACATGGAGAGTATATAAGATATAAATAAAATTTTACACGCACATGTGCATGGAAATTTATAGCATTTGGATAAAACACCTATACATAGAAAGAAAAGAGGCTGAGTGTTAGACCATGCAGAAACAGTGAACTTGCTCTCCACCCAACTACAGCCAGCATGCCACTATAGTCAAATGCAGAGTGTAGGTAGGTACAGTGGTTATGAGGCTAAGTGATACTGATGATGAACAAAGGACCTTGACCTCTGATGGCACAACTAAAACTTGTTCTATGAAAAGGCTGATCTATCTTTCCAGTGATATGCTACAAATCTTGCATTTCACAGGCTTATCAAGTGTCATTGAGATTAACTGAAGTCATTTCACTTGTACAGAGAAAATTCGCCATCTTCCTCACTGTGCTAGTGTGCACTGCTCATTTCTACAATAGCCAGCAACCATTAGTTAACTAAATTTTCACTCATCTGAAAGGTTTCCAATCAAGTTCTCATCTTTCATATTCTCCTAGGTTTCCATGTGCCTCTTCCCCTTTAAAACATCATCATATTTATTTGAAAACTTTCTTAATATTGCTAAATTGTACTATTACTATTGATTTTTTATTCAGAAAACTCTGATAATGGCAATATTTTGCATTTTCTCTGAGCTCTTTTGAAAAGTTACAAGGCATTGTGTCCAGCCTTGTCATCTCTGAGTTCAAGCAAAAGTTTTTCTACTAAGAAACAGAATAAAACAAGTATTTTGCTGCTTGACAGCCACTGCAATTGAGTATTTCAGATAGAGGCTCTGTTTAACATCATTTAACATGCTTGTGGTACCTCATAAACTCAAACCTCCTGTTCTTTGGGTGATCATCAACATAAAGCCAACATTCTAATGGAAAATAAAATAAAATTTTAATAAAATTTTTTAAAAAATTAAAAATTAAAAATAATTTAAAAGAAAAGCATTTTTCATTAATTTCTGACCTGATTGTTCTGTTCTAACTTCCCCAAGGATGTGTGTGAGGAGGTGAAGAAGGTTTTAGTTTTACACATGACCTGGGAACAACAAAATTGCATTAATTTCTTTCAAAAACAAGGCATCTATGACATTCCGTGTAAAATTTAAAACCAGATTTCCACCAAGCCATGTGGAAAACCTACCTGCTAACAACAGCTGTCTGCTGCTCGTAAAACCAATCAGCTGAGATAGACAGTGAAATATTCTGCGAGGATTTTTTTAACCCTCTGCAATGGAAACAGTGACATAAAAGTTGCCAGCAGTGACCAATGAACTTCAGTGACCAAAACAGAACAAACAACAACAAAACAGAAAATCAAGGGGATAAGCAGGGCATAAACTTAAATCACAGAAAACAAGTAAGTTTCATCAACTCTTGAAATGCGTATTTCTGAACCTGGAAAATTATAGATAATATAAGAAAAATATCACCCAATGTGTCTTTCTCCTTGTCCTGGATAACATGCATTCACCTCTGACCTCTGCAAATACTGTATTGTATACAGACGTTTAATTTCTGGGGGGCTGTGGAGGATTTAAGCAATTTCTTTTGTGTGTGTTCTTGCTAAAGGATGTTTCCCCCCAGTTCTCGGTGATGATTAATGCTGTTCAGCCCTGAACCAACACAGAGTGGGTGTATCCATGTTTCACATGTAGGTTCTTGGCAAAAAGGGGTGAGACAAGAGGGTGGGAGAAACAAGGGGCTGGTGAGAAATGAGCTTGGTTATAGAGTAGTCTGCAACTCTGACTATAGGGTGATGTTCTTGTAGTTTCTAAACTCTTCCTGAAAATCTCAGTCCTTTAATAAAATCACTTACCAATGGCTTACATCTAACCCACTATGCCTATACAGAAGAGCTCATGGCAGTGGAGGTAGAGGCTGACCTCAGGTTGTGCTGATGAGCTGGGTGCAAGCACACAGAAGAAAGCTCCTGGGCCAGAGGAACTGGTCATTATGGGCCAGACTGGGGATAAGGCAGCAGTTAGTTTCATTCAAGACAGACCATGCCTTGGACATAATTTTACTTGCTTCATAACTGCTTAATAAACAAGACAACATTCATAATTATTTTTTCTTTAGGTGAAAAAAACCCCAACATCTAAAACCCACTGCATTTTGAAAGGAAGTGTTTGTTATACATGCCTGTGCCATCTGTCTGCTAACAAAAAGCAAGCTTGAAATGTAGCTTAGCAGAAAGCCTCCTCACACTCCAGAATATGGGCAGCCTTTGCCTTGCCAAGTCACCAAATCCAATGCTTGAATTCACAGGGATGCATTCAAAATTACACTTCCCAAGAAGTTAAACATTTAAATGGGTATTTCTGTATTCATGACAGTGACAATTCCAGGCTAGAGAGCAATGACTATTTCCGACACCTCATGTGGGGACACAGTCTCAGAAATCATTCAACAACCAAGTGTTCTGGTGCAGAATGAGCTAAAGAGGGAATTTACCGTTTAAACATTAAACCTGTCGCTTAGCTATTAAACAATGAGATTGTTCTAATCCCTAAGGGATGGAGAACAGTCTGTCATCTTTGGTTTTGGGTTTCCAGCAAATGTGCATAACAATGTAGTTTTTCCAGTGATATCAAGGTCACTTAAAGCACAAGTAATGAAAGAAAGGAGAAACTGCACAAAAATCCCCTCACTTTTGCCTGTGTTGTCATGAGCAGATTGAGTACACTTTTCTTAAGAGGAACAAGCAAAAAACTAACTTCACAGATTATTACCCTTTGTGGGTTATAACACACCTCTAGAAACACCAGTGATCTCTCCTGCAGTAGTTGATGGAGGGTGCAGTGCAGTGTGTGTTCTTCCAGATGAGGTTTAATTCTGATGCCCTGTAGCACCACAAAACCCTCTCCATTATTTGTCACAAAGCAAGAAGTGCCATCCCAGGGCTGAACCTGCCAGAGGTGCTTGCTCACGGGGACCAGAAACCATGAGCATAAAGATCCTGGCTGGGGAAGGCCTGGGGAGAACTCTTTAGGAGAGCACCCACATGCAATGCAATTGCCCTGACGCCAGTTTAGCTCTGCCCTGAACCCACAAACGGAGCAGCTCTGCAGGCTGCTCCTGCCCTTCACTCCCCAACCTCTGGCAGATGAGGTACCCATGCCCTTTCTCAATCTCTTCCAATGTAAATTCAAGGTTGTGGAGAAACTAGCGTTAACGTCGTAAAGGCATTAAATCAGCTTACCAAAGTTCAGACCCATACACCTAAATTGCTGCCATTAAAGTAACTATCTCTGGAAGGCACAGCACCTTAGTAGAACCAATTTATGGGGACAGTTGCCAAGCAGCCCTGGAAAGAGCTGTGGAAAAAAAGCACATCCTCAATAGGCTATTGATTTCACAAAATAAATCACTTAATAGCCGAGATACACTTCTGCTAATTAATGGATTTAGAGACAGTTACATGGTCAAGGCCATGATGGCACAGCCCTAGGAAAAAGAACTTTGGCTCTAGTGGAAGAGAGATTTCAAGAAATGTTTGCTAAGATAATTCTGAGAGTGCGTTGCTGGTGCCCCTCCTCGAATAAAACGACGGTCAGTCAAGCATGTTTGTGTTTTATAATCCTCAGATTTCCCTTGAAGCTATTTCTGTATAAGTAAAAAAGTCTCTCTCACCTCTTTGGTGTTTGTTTTCTCTTAACTTGGAGCATTTTGGTTACATGTGTCACAGATATATCTCTTCCATGCAGTACTGCCCTACCCATGCAGCTGCGGATGTTGAAAAGATCTCCCTTTACCTGAGGTAACATGAAAACCCCCTTCTTTGTTCACATAAAAATACTTTAATTGTTAACAATTTTATTTTAGTCTGTATAAAACAACAATTAAAATGATGGGCAAGCATTTATTAATAAATTTATGATTTCACTGCAGTCTTTTTTTTTTTTTTTAATCGTGTTTACTAGAAATCACCAAAGATATTGCTCCCAGGAGATCCACTTTTGAAATTGTCAGAGTAGCTTTTTCTAGAAATGTTTTCCTGATCCCAAAGGTCAGAAAATAAGAACAAAGAGCTGTGGGAGCTGGGGCTGTTCAGCCTGGAGCAGAGAAGGCTCTGGGGAGACCCGTGAGCATCAGGTCCTATCAATATCTAAAGGGGGGGCTGTAAAATGGGAGGGGACAGACTCTAGCAGAGTCTGCTGTGACAGGACATGAGGAAATGGTTTTCAATTAAAAGAGATTTAGGTTGGACACAAGGAATAAGTTTTTTACAATAAGGGTGGTGAAGCACTGGCACAAATTGCCCAGAGAGGTGATGGATGGTGTCCCTGGAGACATCCAAGGTCAGGTTGGACGGGGCTCTGAGCAACCTGATCAACCTGCAGGTATCCCTGTTCGTTGCAGGAGAGTTGGACTAGCTGGTCTCTAAGCGTTCCTTCCAACTCAAACTATTCTGTGATTCAGACTTCAGACTTCATACCTAAAAATAGAGTTAATTTCTGATACAGAGATAATTCTCATTTTGTAAAATCAGTCTGTTTTTATTTCATTATGAAAGCAGTTTTGACAGTCGCAATACAGACAGATTTTTTTCCTACCACATAGCTAAAGCAGGATTAATATTAACTGCTGATGCAAAACCATATGACTCAAAGCGAGAAAGCCCCAGCAAAAGGAAAATCCAGTTGCCATGACTCTCAATGGTTCAAAGCACACCCAACTACTGCAAACCCGTGTGGTAGTGGTGACTCCCATGAGCACACTGCGGGTACCAGAGCTGTTCCTTGCTCTAGTAGTAACTGACAGCAGTAATCAATAGATGGATTAAAAGGTAAATACAGTAAATTATGTGGGTTACTCTCTTGATGTATAAAACAGCATGTATTCTGTCACGTGAAGCACTGTTAGCACTGTCTCTGATAGAACAGGCAATGCGGAGTAGAACAAGGGATGAAAGTACACACGGGTGCAGATGGCAGGGTGCAGTGGGGGCAATGAAGCATTGGTGGGTGTATGGTGGGAAGGCCCTTATGTCTCAGATGCATTCAGGCGTGATTCTGTTTGTGCTGTCCATGAAACAGTGCGGAGCGACCTGACACCAAATTGTTCTGAGGCAGGAGCAGATGCATTGAGCTGTCAGGGGCAGAGCCATGACGAGGCGCCGCGGTGCCGGGGACACACCTGCACATCTCCTTGGCTGGGAGACCCCCCCCTTCTCTGATGGGCTGTCTTGTGCCTTGGGAACATTCTTCTCCATATTACAATTTCCCCAAGAGCAGAGTCCCCCGCATCTCCGGGACCAGCAAGGGTACAGAACTTCAGCACAGGACTGGTGGAGATGGAAAGCAGCATGAGCTGCAGACGCTGACCCTCAGCATCTCATATCACACTCAGGTACATGGCATCTATGTCAACAAGCTTGAAAGCCAAATGTTCCCTGCTGTATGGTGTGTCATGAAGCAGAGGTAATTCCCATCTCAGTGCTAGATAAACTCAGCAGTATAATCTACCAAAAAATAGATAATTTATTTTGGCATAACATTAATTGGTATCAGCTCTAGTAACTGCTTGCTGCCCACATTTTCTCTTCACTCTTCAAGGTCTGTGTCAATGTACTTACTATCTCTGTTTTTATCACTGCAGTGGAAATCACCAGTATCAAGATTAATTATGTCTTTCACTCATTTTATTTTTTTCACATTTACCAGCTTCTCACTTTTCATATCAAAGAAAAGAAAAAAAGGGAAGAAGAGAGGAGAGGAGAGGAGAGGAGAGGAGAGGAGAGGAGAGGAGAGGA